CGAAGTTATATTTGGGAGCTATATCCAAATCTGAACCGATCTCGACAAAATTTAGCAAAGGTATTTCTGAGCTGCATTTAATATATTTCCCCAAATATTGTTCTTACAGAGTGCATATTACGGCTGCGGAGGACAAAAATAAAAAAACGGATGAACAATATATATGGGAGCTATATCTATATCTGAACCGATTTCGATCAAATTTGGCATACTCATTTTCAGGCCTAATTGGGGTGTGTATGCAATTTCATACAATTCGGGCTGATATTACACGTTTGGTGCACAATAAAATTCAAATCGGACGAAGATATATAGGGGAGCCATATCCAAATCTGAACCGATTTCGATGAAATTTGGCATATTTATTTCAAGGCCTAATTTGGTTGTATGTGCAAAATTCCATACTATTCCGGCTGATATTACACGTTTGATGCACAATGCACAATAATCGGACGAAGCTATGTGTAATGGGAGCTATATCTAAATTTTTACCGATTATCTCCAATTTCAATGGGATTTGTCCTTGGGCCAAACAAATGTTGTTTGGAAAATTTCATCTCAATCGGATAGTAAATGCGACCTGCATTTTGTTCAGAAGAATACATGGACAGACGGAGGGACTGACATGCATAAATCAACTCAGAAAGTGATTCTATGCAAATCATCAAAAGGAACTATGGGTCTATCTCGTTTCCTTTTGCCTGTTACAAACAAATGCACAAAGACATAGTACCCTGACCACCTTGTGGTGTAGGGTATAAAAATATTTATTGGAGTAATAGATATTCCTGATTCAGTTTCACCAAATGGTAAAATTCGGTTGAATATGAAAAAAATCTATTTTATTTGGTATGATTTTTAATATATGGTAAGCAATAACCGTAAAATCGGATGAAGATGTAAATCGAATGCATATAAAAATCTGAACGGATCACGATAAAATGTGGCTGAGGTATTTTCTAACAGTTTTATGATGTCCCATATCAAATATCACTGTTGTGGAGTGCATATTATGCATGTGAGAGATTTTAACATCAAATCGGATGAAACATATATGGTAGATATATCTGAACCGATCTTCAACAGAATTTGAAGTACATGCTTTTAGACGGAATTCCGCCGGAATATATATATATATATATATATATATATATATATATATATATATATATATATATATATATATATATATATATGTATATATATATATATATGTATATATATATATATATATATATATATATATATATATGTAGTTGAGAGTAGGTATATATATATATATATATATATATATACATATTTATATTTTATATTTATTGTGAACCAAGTGGCTGATATCAGCCCGAATATCCAAACCCTGGTACAATTTTAAACACTTATTTCTGAGCTGTATCTGATATCTACTACCAAAGATTATACCACAGATTATTGTTGTGGAGAACATATTACGCACCTGAGGGACTTTAACACCAGATCGGTGCTGTACCTATATCTGAACAGATTGTCTCCAAATTTTAAATACCGGTTAAAATGAAAAAAAAACTGCAATCAACTTCAGACTACTGTCATTTCTAAGCCACTCGTCCGACAGCTATTAAAATTATTCCAGTGACAGCTCATAACATTGTTACAAGTGTACAAACCCATTTTGGTGAAGTTTCCCGCTAGGAACACCTTTTGTACGGCTCAGTTTTAATGCTTTTATTTGGAAAAGGAATAGAGCTGAAAATATGAAACGTGGAATGAAAGTCTTTGATGTTGCTTTGGATACACAAACTAAATGGTTCTATATTTAGTACTGACCGAAGGAATAGATATAGAATTCTGAAATTTGATATTTAGAGTACATTTGGTAACCGAGGCTGGGATTTGGCTGTAGTTATAGAAATGCCTCCCATATTTGTACGAAAAGTACTATAGTGTACTAAATTTGGTATTAGGTTGGAGGGTTGGTTGGTGTCTGTGGTCAACATATGGAGATGGTTTTGGAAGTGTGCTAAAATTGTTCGAGAAGTACTAAATGATACTTAATTGGGCATTAAGTGAATAAAAACGAGCTGGACAATTGAAATTCGATATTGAGATATCTGGAATCCGAGAAATGGATGTGGTCCTGATAATGCGTCCAATAATTGAACGAAATAAACTAAATTGTACAAAATGTGGTATTGGATGAATGAATTAATCTGGAATTCTGATATTTGATATGGATGTCACTGTTGCTGTCTGTAGTTGAGAGTAGGTACCGGCTCGATATTGAGATATCTGGAATCCGAGAAATGGATGTGGTCCTGATAATGCGTCCAATAATTGAACGAAATTAACTAAATTTCACAAAATGTGGTATTGGGTGAATGAATAAATCTGGAATCCTGATATTTGATATGGATGTCACTGTTGCTGTCTGTGGTTGAGAGTAGCTACCGGTTTTGGATATGCATGCTAACATTGTACTAAATGTTAAAAAAATTGATAATGGGAGATATTAAAGAGCTGAATTCCTGAAATTCGATACCAAGGTCACATTTGGTATCTGAGCTTGAGATATGACATTTGTTTTAAAAATGCATACTATAATCGCTCGAAAAGCTAACTAAATGCTACTAAATTTGGTAGTGGGTGAATAGATAAAGCTGAAAACGTAACCATTTATATAGCGATAACTGTTGGATTAAAATATGGAGCGGTTTTGCAAACGAGTACTAAAATAATACGAACAAGTGAAAAAAACAGTAAGTTCGGCCGGGTCGAACTTTAAATACCCTCCACCATTTAGAACTAATTTGGAAATTCTCAAAAAAAAAAAAAATCCGTTAAAAATTCTGTTAAAATCATAAAAATACCGAATATAGCCGTTATATTGGGATCTATACGGCGTGGACCTACATAGGCATTGTTTGTCATAAGCCATTACCATATTCAAATTCGAAACATGAAATAAACGGTGAACAATGTAGCCAAAATCATCTTATTACTTACATAGGGAGGTACAATTTTCTGTCACAGGCTATAGGATCCATTACGAACGTCAAATACGACATCTCAAATAATTTCGGTGAGGATTGTACCTAAAATCGTAGAAATACCGAATATAGGGAGGTAGTGATATATGGGGCATATAAGAAGACCTGGACTACGTAGACAAGTTTCTGTCATAGATTGTAGTTCCCATTACGAACTCTAAATACGTAATTTGAAAGTACTCCGGTGAATAATGACGTTAAAATCATCAAAATACCGAATATTGGGAGGAACCGTTATATGGGGGCTATACGAAGACCTGGACCTGCACAGACAACTTTCTGTCTTAGACTGTAGTATCCACTTCAAACTTTAAATACCAAATTTGAAACAATTCCGGTGAGTAATGCCGCTAAAATCGTCAAAATATCGAATATGGGGAGGTACTGATATGTGGGGCCTCTACGAAGACCTGGATCTGCATACACAATTGTCTGTCATAAGCTGTAGCATCCACTACGAACTTCAAATACCAAACTTGAAACAATTCCGGTGAATAATGCCGCTAAATTAATCAAAATACCGAATATAAGTAGGTACTGTTATATGGGGGCTATATGAAAGCGTGGACTTATACGGCCCATTTACTAACTTAATGTGCCTACTGGAAACATAAACATGTGTGCAAAATTGTAGCCTTCTACCTCAATTCGTTCGAAAGATAGCGTGATTACAACAGACAGATGGACAGACAGACATCGCTAAAGCGACTTAGAATTTTACGCTGATCAAAAATACATAACTTTGTTGGGTTTGACATGAGTATTTCGAGGAGTTACAAACGGAATGACAAAATTAATATACCCTCCATATTATGGTGTATAAAAATACTTAATTTGGTAATGAGTGAATATGTGGAGCTGGAATCCTGAAATTTGGTATTGAGAACTCATTTGGTGTTTGGTGTTGAGAGCTGGTGGTGGTTTTGCAAATGTGAAATGTGCTAAATGATTCTAATTTTGGATCACTGTTGGTGTATAGGACGGAGAGATGCTGGTTGTTCTGGATATGTGTACTAAATGTTACTAAATTTGGTATTGGGTGAAGGCATAGAACTGAAAATCTGAAATTTGATATTTAGGTCATTGTTGGTTTCTATGGTTTACATATGCAGACGTTGAAATAGTTTTGTACAGAAAAACTGGATGTGAACCTATTACGAATAGAATTTTCTAATGTTATCTTTGCTAAATTTCAAAATAAAAAATTTTGATGACTTTTTGGTATAAAAAGTAGTCATTTTCCTTATTTCCGAATAAGGAACGACTTTAATTATATAAAAAGCCTTGAAAGTCTGAAAATGTAGTTCGATGTATAATATTTTGATTGAACAATTTTGTTAAACTTGACAAATTGTGGAATTTTATTACTAAAAGGGCATAATACGAACTATTGGAGCGAATCGGGCATTTTAAGGTTGACTTTTCTCTGACGATGTAGTGGACACTTGCTAGTTTTTTGCAAGAGGTTTAACATGTTCGCCCACAAAAGTCGTCGCATTCTTGTATTGAATATTTCACCAATTTCTTTTTTAGGCTCGTTAAACCATTAAGGAGTATCGGATATACTCCATACTAGGCACATCGTATTTTTTTCGAATTTCGATCAAGTTCCGAGGTTGACAACATCGATCTGATCTTTTTGATACACTCAGCACAAATGTCAAAATTTCCCAAAAAAAAAAAAGTATTTAGAATCTACTGTAAATGAAGATTCAGACAATGACTGGAAACGGATCACATTGAAACGGGGAGTGATATGGTAAATTTTTCCTTTAATTACTACTACATTATGTTTCACCTTTGGGAATATATCAAATATCGTTAGTGGTGGTTCATTAAAATTCTTGACTGCTCTATTACCATAACCATATTTCAAGATTCGTCTGTGCCAAGTTGGCAATAGTAAAATAGAACTACTAAACCAGTTGCAAATTTCATAATACAAATATAAGAAATCTGAAGACCATTACAACTTACCCAACAAATTCTTTGCAAATCTCAGGATTATTTCTGTAAAATAAAAAAATACAACAATTAGATATCTATAATTTCTAGTATTCAAATAATGTTATATACAGGGTGAGATGAAAAACTCCAACCAACTTCAGACTGCTGTCACTTCTAAGCCACTCACCCGATAGATATTAAAATTATTCCTTTACTACCATACAAAAGCATTTTGGTGAGAATTTTCCAGAAAAAAAAAAGTTATTCGTGATGGAATTCAAGCGTGATAGTTCGATTTCTTTATATTTGGCTGGAAGACCACAAGTGGCTATCGTTAGAGCACTCAAGCATTTAAATTTGAAAAAATCTTTTGCGACTTGATTGAAACCCGAGTCGCAGTGGCCAAAAAAGGCTCGTGAGCTGAACATATCGCAATATTCCATTCAGCAAATATTGGAAAATGAGCTCGGGGTAAAACCATTGAAATTCCAAAAAGTGCAAGAACTTACACCGCCACAGAAAGATAATAGACTCAAAAGAGCTAAAGAGTTGCTGAATTTGGTTTTCTCCGATGAGAAAATATTCGTTGTCCAGCCGTTCGTAAACAAACAAAATAATCGTGTTTACTTGCCAAAGAGGTCAGCTAAAAATGTGCACCTTCGGTTGGCCACCAGAACTCAAGCGCCGGCCATGGTGATAATGTTGGCTGCCATAACAGCCAATGGTCGCACTCCGCTCGTATTAATCAACCGTGGCATCAGAATAAATGCCGAATATTATCACGAAAATATTCTGGAGGGTGTATTAAAGCCTTGGAGAATGTATTACAACTGAAGATGTGCACCTTCAAGCGCCGGCCTTGGTGATGTTGTGGGCCGCCATAACAGCCGAGGTTCGCTCTTCACTCGTATTAATCGAACGTGGCATCAGAATAAATGCCGAATATTATCACGAAAATATTCTTGAGGGTGTATTAAAGTCTTGGAGGGTGTAGTAAAGCTGAAAATGCGAACCTTCGGTTGGCCACCAGAACTCAAGCGCCGACCCTGGTGATGCTGTGGGCCGCCATAACAGCCGATGGTCCATCTCCGCTCGTATTAATCCACCGTGGTATCAGAATAAATGCCGAATATTATCACGAAAATATTCTGGAGAGTGTATTTAAGCCTTGGAGGATGTGTTAAAGCTGAAAATGTGTACCTTCGGTTGGCCACCAGAACTCAAGCGCCGGTCATGGTGATGGTGTGAGTCGCCATAACAGCCGATGGTCGCTCTCTGCTCGTAGTAATCTACCGTGGCATAAGAATAAATGCCGAATATTATCACGAAAATATTCTGGAGGGTGTATTTAAGTCTTGGGCACGCAAACATTTTGGCCGCAGACCTTGGACATTCCAACAGGACTCAGCACTATCACACTCAGCACGCGCCACCCAAGAATGGTTACAAAATGAGGTTCCTCACTTCATTTCCAGCGCACAATGGCCACCAAAATCTTCAGATACCAATCTGTTGGACAATTTTGACGGGAGTATTTTGGAAAGCCATGTTGGCACTAAAAAATACCAAAGTGTCGATCACCTCAAGCAAGCGCTTCGCCGGGAATGGGCCGAAATACCACAGAGCAACATTCGGGCAGCGAGTGACGGTTTCATTGGCCGTTTGAAGGCCATAGTTCGTGTCAAATCGAACAAATCCAAACTTATAAACTAAGATTTGATGCTATTTCCGAAATTTTTCTGCTTTCATTCACTAACATTTAAACAAAAAGGAAAATTATGGTTTTTGGCTTTGTTGCAGTTTTTTTTATCTCACCCTGTATATATATAGTCAAGTTATATTTTAAAAGTTGACAGGAATAAGATTGAAGTATTGAATTTCTGTAAAGGGCATTTTAATACCCTGATAACCAAAGTCATCAAATAATCAAAATTTTTGAAAATTTATTAAAGCAGATCAGAATACCTTAAATAAGGCAATACGAAGCTGATCCTAGCGATTTAAAACTTTCTTTATTTTTCTAGCTTCCAATAACTTTTACCCAACAAACTTTAACTTCAGTTTCCCATCCGAACAAATTACAATTGCAAATCCAACATAACTTGCAGCTTCATTAATTACTTTATCGTTGATCTTCATTTCATGCAAATATTGAATTGGGAAATGAGAAAAAATACGGAGACAGAGACAGAGAGAAGCGTTTTTTAATTGAGTTATTCATCGTGTAATTGAAACTTTAATTTCCGTTGCAATTGTACAACTCTCGCTGATGAACAGCCACAAACACACACTCACCCACCCGCCCACACATACACCTATCTTGTTGTCTCCGATATTTCCCTGAGTAACTTGACAATATTAATTACGGTAAAATACATTTGTCTTGGTTTGGGTGTAGTTGGGGGAGGCATTTTGTATGTGTGTGTGGGGGGGGGGGTTCGTTATTGATGGCGGTGAATATAAACCGATTAAGTTCATTACAGACGAATCGTTCGTTTGTTTTTTTTTTGCTATCGTCGTTGTTGTTGTTATCCAATTTCGTTAGCATAATGAAAGCTGATACCATTGAGACGCCAAAGTCTTTAGTATGCAACAGCAGTAGCAGCAGCAACATCAACAGGACAAACGGAAATTGTTATTGTCACACAGATAGATGATATTATTATTTTCTTTTATTCATTAATATTATTACTTTGTTCGATATCTATATTAGATTAGTAATTATATGGATAAGATATTGATATGGAGTCTAATTATGACATGAACTTGGGGTATTTAAATTTGGGAGAGATGAAAAAACAAAATATTGGAATATTATGGGTGGTAAGAGTTCCAAGAGCCCGTGTTGGAGATTTTAAGTGCAAGTACACTAGCCATAACAGAATGCGAAGATAGGACTTGATTTTAAGGAAATCTGTTACGATTCTAGTGATTAATGTCGCAAAAATCATGAAAATACAGAGTTTCGGGAGATACAGTCATACGGGGGGCTATACGAAAACGTGGACCTGAATACGAAATTTTTTTGACATATGCTGTAGTTCTCATTACGAACTTTAAGTACGAAATTTGTTACAATTCTGGTGAATAATATCGCAAAAACTATGATAATACCGAATATCGAGAGGTACTGTTGTATGAGACGTGGACCCGCATATGAAATTTCTACATGGGGTTATACGAAGACGTGGACACGCATACGAAATTTTTTATACCCTACATCACAAGGTTGGAGATAATCGGTCAAAATTTAGATATAGCTCCCATATATATTTTCGTCCGATTTACCTTTTATTGTGCACCAAACGTATAATATCAGTCCGAATAGTATGGAATTTTGCACGTACGATCAGATTGGACCTGAAAATAAGTATGCCAAATTTGATCGAAATCGATTCAGATATAGCTATAGCTCCCTTATATATTGTTCATCCGATTTGTTATTTTTGTCCTCCGCAGCCGTAATACGCACTCTGTAACAACAATATTTGGGGAAATATATCAAATGCAGCTCAAAAAAACCTTTGCTAAATTTTATCGAGATCGGTTCGGATTTGGATATAGCTCCCATATATAACTTCGTCCGATATACACTTTATTGTGGACCAAACGTCCAAATGGGATGAAATTTGGCACTTATGATCGAATTGAGTCTAGAAGCTAATATGTCAAATTTGGTGAATATCGGTTCAGATATAGCTATAGCTCCCATATATACTGTTCATCCAATTTGTCATATTTGTTACCCACAGCCGTAATATGCACTCCAACGAGTGCATACCTACGATATTCAGGGAAAATATATCAAATACAGTTCAGAAATATCTTTGCCAAATTTTATCGAGATCGGTTCCGATTTGGATATAGCTCCCATATATATTTTTATCCGTTTTCAAATTACTTGTGCACCAAATGGGCGATATAAGTCCGAATTTAAAAGATACAAATGCTTCGGCATATTTAGTTCTTTGAACTTTAAATTATTATAATTCCATAAAAACTTTTAATTGTTATGCGCAGCTCTACTAAACTAGCAAAGTGGTGTAGGGTATCATAAAGTCGGCCCCGGCCGACTTTAAGACTTTCTTTACTGGTTTGTCATTGGTGATTCCGGTGAATAATGTTGCTGAAGTCATCAAAATACCGAATATCGGGAGGGACCGTTATATGGGGGCTATACCAAAAATTAGACCCATATAAACTATGTTCCACCACTGGAGCAAGAACCTATTGCGAACTACAAATACCAATTTTTAGACAAATCCATGCAAAAGTGTGGAAGAAATCATCAAAATACCGAATATCGAGAGGTACCGTTGTATGGAGGCTACGTGCGGGCATAAAAGTGAACCCATACAAACTATGTATGGGTCTATACGTGGTTATACGTGGTCCGATATATCTCATTTTCAATACAAACCATCATAGACGAAAAAAATTGTTCTGCCAGACAGACGGACAGCCTTAAAGGCTATCATACACCCTCCAGAATATGTTCGCGATAATATTATGCATTTATTCTGATGCCACCCTCGATTAATACGAACGGAAAGCTACCATCGGCTGTTATGGAGGCCGGCGCTTGAGTTCTGGTGGCCAACCGAACCTGGCCATTTTCAGCTGACCTCTTTGGCAAGTAAACACCATTATTTTGTTTGTATACAAACTGCTGGACAACGAATGTTTTCTCATCTTCGAAAACCAAATTCGACAGGTCACCAAGCGAAGCAACTCTTTAGCTCTTTTGACGCTATTTTCTCTCTGTTGCAGTGTAAGTTTTTGCACTTTTTGGAATATCAATGGCTTTATCCCGAGCTCATTTTTTAATATTTGCCGAATGGAATATTTCGATATGTTCAGATCACTAGGCATTTTTCGGCCACGCGGGTTTCGATCAAGTCGCTTCTTTACTTTCGAACCATTTCTGCTGATGTTGCTGCTTTCTTCCGTCCACTTCCTTGACATCGGGCTATGCAACCAGTAGCACGGTAACGAGACACAAAATAGTTATTCACATTTAAATGCTGGAGTGCTCTAACGATAGCCACTTGTCTACTTCCAGT